ATATTAATATATATGTTATATATATATATATATATATGTTATACTATATATGTTATATATATATATATATATATATATATATATATATATATAATATTACAATATTACAATATTGTAATATTGTAATATTATAATACAATATTGTAATATTGTAATATTATAATACAATATTATAATATTACAATATTGCAATATTATAATATTATAACACAATATTATATATATTATATTATACATTTAGTAACATATTTCGTGCAACTCGCTGTTAAATTTACATTGATTTCTGTTTCAATATCATTCTTTTTACGATGAATTTGCAAATTGGTCGTCAGCTCCCGAAACATCGATAATGTCGATAACGATTTAACTTGTCGATGTTGAACGTTGTAAACAATCGAGATTATCTGCAGTTTCCACTCTCGGCGAAATTAATCTGATGACTTTAATTGCAGAGTGGACAGATGTCGAGGAATCCGTCTTTATCTCGTGATTACGAGCGTGCGGTTAATCAAGAATCATAAATTAATAAGGTGATAAAGATGTTTATCTGGGCGAGTGGATGCTTATCGGTTAATTACATTCCTTCATTGATTAAATGACGCTGGTAGTATTCCTCTGGTATTAACATCGTCATCGAGCTGACGATTGAATGGTTCGTTGTCAGCTCGTTTAATACGAAGGAAATTTATGGTATTTATGAAACATCGTTATGGTAATGAGAAACGATGGAAATCTTTGCGGGTAATAAATAATGAAAATGAGAGATGAAAGACTGAGGGGAGAATCAACGACATGGAAAATTTGATATAGAAAATGAATGATACAAGGATTGAACGGGATTGGCAATCGTCACGAAAGCAAACGTCGTTTGATAAATGATTCGAGTCTTTTGCACATCAACGTATGTCGTCGTTTATAATTCTAATCGGTCATAAAGAGTAATTTTCTACATATCTCTCGTCAAGAATAATCGACGTCGGTAATAGTGTGTTTAGTCCTGTCTACAGTATTCTTTCACAATAATTTATTCATCGTTCAAAATCAAACAGCATTCGCTCGAACGATTATTCAACGCACACGACTAATTTTAAACAGCAACAATTTGCATAGTATGATCGTGTACGAGTTGGAAAGTTCTCTCGGGGATTTTTCGATTACTGTGGCCTCTTAACAACTTTTTATAATATTATATTACATAAAATTTATTTTATAATATAAAATTTTTTTATATATATATTTTATATTTTATATTATATTTTTATATTATATAAAATTTTTATATTATATTATTATAATATTATAAATTAATTTATTATAATATAACATATAATATTTTATATTATTATAATACTGTAATATTAATTTGTTACAATATTATTATAAAATATTTCGTATAATATAGTAATGTTATAAAATGATAACAACGTGATACGTATATTCTCACAAGAATAATAACCTTGTTATGAATTGTAATAATCATGTTATAACAATTTCTTAAATCAAATGATATAATGATAATATATATTTATAATTTTTATAATTTTTCCTTCATAATTTCTATAATTATACCGATTTATAAATCGGAAATTCAAATTTATCTCGAATTTAGTCAAATAATAATTTATTCGTTTTCAGTCTAGAGATATAACATTATAAAATAATAGAAACGTAAATTATTCTGAATTGAGCACGAATGCGACTTGTTATAATTATACTATACATTTCATGTATAATATAATCATGTAAAGTCGAAAACTTGAAACTTTCCAACAACTTCGAAATCTTCTCCACTTACTTCGAAACTTTTTCAAGTGTCTTTAACAAGTTCCAACAAATGATCAATGCGTTATCAATACTTCAAATTGCTGCGCAAAAAAACGAGTTTTCCCATCCTTCTCTTTTATTCTTTCCTTTAACAATCTAATCTACGACTACAACATATTTATGCATATTTGAAAGGAAGAAAGGTGAATAGCGTGCATCGTGGTATAACATTGTTAGTAGGTTACGAAACAGCGGTTCGTGCGGGAGACACGCAGGCTCCGGTGCGTCATTTTCTCTATTCTACGTATGTATGTACGAAGTATAGTGGAAAGTTTCATGTCATAACACGATCGATGACGACACCGTTGCTGTTACGTCTTCCTGTCACAGAACTTTTTCACTAAACTGTGATGTAACTTCTGTTTATCTCTTTTCGCATTTTATTTGCCACTGGTTGTCCTTATCAACTCCAGCTGTGTCTTCTATGCGTGGAATGTGTGAAATATTTATGCTCCTGTGCGAGGATATTAGCCTCGATTTTTCAATTTCTTACTGTGTTTTTCATTTTAAATTGCACCTACATTGCATCTACACGCGTGAAATATTGTTTATTATATTAAACACAATCTCGATTTTCTTTCACTGTCATTTCACTCTATTTTCTATCATACGTTCTCTCATTGCGTTTTCTATCTGAAATGTTTACAATATATTTGTAATATTTTTATATCATTATAAATATATATATATATTTATTTTATATATTTATATGTATTTATGTATTTATTTTATATATTTATATATTTATTCATACTAGTTTACATTTATTATATTTACTTATGATGCATCTGTATTTATTCGTTATTTACTCACGATGTATTTATATTTACTCATGCACGAAGTATCTTTTTTTTTTTTTATTAAAATGTGTAACATCGATTTAAAAAAAAAATTTCTTTCCAGCTTATTTTTCCATGCACTTTTCTCATCTTGTTATGTTCTTTATCTGAAATACAGGTATTGGAGTAATTGTGTATACCTGTTAATGGATGTTTATCGACAGTCTGCAACATATCCACAGTAATTTTCCCGAATATGTTCTGTGTTGATTTTCTCAATTAACTATGAACTAACACACTGAAACAATATTTTGTCGAGAAACAGTTCCGACGATAAGGATTTCACTTCCATCCTCGCGTAATAATTCATCAATGTTTCAACAATGAATTATAGCGTTTAACAGACTGTGCAGTGTTTGAATTGAGGCAGATATAATAACAACAACATGGAATCGTCAAAGAGATACTTTTAGTATACACTTTCCGAAAGTGTAGGAGATTTCTGGAATTATATCTTTTTTTTTTAAGTTCAATTTCCCTTGCAGCAAAATTGATACGCAAACGAAGAGCTGTTAGATAGCTCCATTTGACTTTAATTTATCATTTTGGCAATTTTATCCATTATCTGTATCCGTGATATAATAATCGACACTCTTTCGTCACTGTTTTAATCAATACAATCAACACTGATATTATCGCAAATTGTTGTAAATTATTTTGAATATACACGTACATTGAACGTGTCTAATAATCATCAATATTCTTTATTATTTAATAATTATAAAATAATTATAAAATAATTATAGAATAATTATAAAATAATTATAAAATAATTATAGAATAATTATAAAATAATTATAAAATAATTATAGAATAATTATAAAATAATTATAAAATAATTATAGAATAATTATAAAATAATTATAAAATAATTATAGAATAATTATAAAATAATTATAAAATAATTATAGAATAATTATAAAATAATTATAAAATAATTATAAAATAATAATTGTAAAATAATTATAAAATAATAATTATAGAATAGTTATAAAATAATTATAAAATAATAATTATAAAATAATTATAAAATAATTATAAAATAATAATTATTTAACAATAAAACTACTTAAAAAGCTACTTAAAACAATCAAGTCCATTTTTATCTTGCTTTTGCAATAATTATGCGTGTGAAAGTCTCTCTAAATGATTAAAACAACAATTCATAGATTTTTCGATATTATTACAAACGTAACAATTAATCTAACAATGACTGTTTATTGAAACAATTAACAGCATTTTCATCCTACTTCGAGTGCAACTTCTAAATCACTGGGACGACATCCGCAAGCTCATAAACTCGTTTTCAGCAGTTAATGAACGGTCAAGACACGCGCGTGTAATTCATAGCTCCGATAAGATCAAATTTATTCGTCGTAAATGTTCAAGGTACACCTTTTTACGAGAGAGAAAAAAGAAGATCGTCGTCATCGCGAGGATTCATCGCGTATTCAACGAAAGTAGACTAAACACAAAGTCACGCAGATTCGACATGCTTGCCGTCGAGGAACTTGATCGATTTATCACGTACGAGAGCCATGTTTACGCGTGAATTATTTGTTATTCATCGCGGCGGACTTGCAAATCGACCGAATATTTCAGCAACAATCCACGTGAATCCGCGTTTCTGAATTTGATAAGCTCGATTATCACGACGGTTGCCGATTCTTATCGTATATTCGTTTCACGGTGACCAATTAGGCGACTGATTCATTTGCAGGATCACTTGCAGAATTTTTCACGCGTTCGTCACGAGTTAGATATTAATCAGATTCAGTTGGAAATTAAATATAAAGAGGTGTCTTGAAGATGAATTTTGTTGAAGAAAACTTGAAGAATTCTGATTTCAACCTGTTGCGCTCGAGAAATTTTCTCTCAAAATTGCAATATTTTCTCAGTTTTGAGTATATTTAAGTATATTTATTAACATAATAAATATACTTAAATATAATATTTATATACTAAAATATATGTACTAAGAAATAAATAGTATAACGTAGTAAACATATATACTGAAAAGTGAATACACTTAAATATAAATATTATATCATATTTAAGTATATTTAAGTGTGTTTATTATAATTTTAAGTATATTTGTTATAACCCAGGCAGAATAATAAAAATAATAAATTTATTACTTCTCAATAATTTTTATCCAGCGATATCATACCGTGATGAGTTCAAACAGAAAGCGACAAATTATTGTATACGGTTTGGTCGCTCGTTATGGTCCGCAATCAGTTGTCAGCGCAAGTGGTTGATACGTGTACTTGTATAGAACTTGGTTGTGTTCTTGCAATTTATAATTAACGTGTGAAAAACTTGATTGTGTTTCAGGATGCTTTGGATACTAGAAGGTGGTCGTCCAAGAACAACCAAAATGGGTATGTACACGATATTATCGTTATATTTGTCAAACGTTCGTTGTGAAATTATTTTAGGTAGCGATTGAATACGCAATTTGATTTAATTGTTCTCGGTTTAAAGTAGCCTCAAGTAACATCAATCATGATATTAAAAACTATCGAACGATAGTGAGAATATCTCTTTGCTTTTAAATTCTAGTTACGATTCATCCCACAAGTCCAACATATACGTGCTGGAGCTTGAGGAGAAGAAGAAAAGCGTACAGGAGTACGAAGAGGATTACAATCCTTACGATCATAGAGACGTTACACATCCAACTACGTGAGTGTTAATTCTCTCATTTTCACCTGTGATTCCTTTCCCCTGTCATTTTCGCCATACAATTCTCGTAAGCAGACTTTTGAAGATTTATACAGAATTCATATTTTTGTGAAACGTTGTTTGAAACATAAAATTTAGGCAGACGATCGATTTTATTTCCTAAATGCTGCAACGATACCAGATTTTACACGTCTACGATACTTTTGCATTCAGATTTCACGCAAACTATAATATATAAATAAAAAAGATAGTATATAATATAGAATATTATATACTATTAACTATAGTATATATATATATAAAATAGTATATAAATATATATTTTATATAATATATAAGTGAAAAAATATAATATAAAAATAAAAAGTAATATATAAATATAAATAATAAAAAAATAAATATACTATAATATAGAATATTATATATTATTAACTATAGTATATATATTATATAAAATATAATATATAAATAAAAAATAAATATACTATAATATAGAATATTATATTAATATAATTATTACTTATATAACTATTAATTATATATTGTATAAAATATAAAAAAGAATATACTATAATATATAAAAATCCATCTGAATTACAAAATTCACGCGAAACTGAATCGATCTAATTAGACTGTGGATTTTTACGCGTTTGTGAGAAGTTTATGAAAAATTATACACCGAATTATATATGTATAAAATAATGCAAAAATTCGTACGAAAGTGTCCAAAATACGAAGGAGATCGAAATTTGCACGAGCATCAAAATAAAAGGAGAGGAAAAATGCAAATCGGACGTCGTTCGGTGGGTTAACGAAATCGCCAGCGTTCGCATAACGTCGAACGCGGCACGCATGCGAAAACGGCGACGTTTCGTTTATTCCGACCGCGTCCCTCTGGACACAAATTACATGGCAATTTATTACGATTAGTCACGAAACGGAAGGATAGGATTCCCCGTGCTCTCGGGGGAGACACAGCACCGAAAAATGCTGCTCCACGCGCGTGGACAAAGGTCGACGACGCTTCGTCTTTGGAATCGTCAGTTCGCGAGGAATCGTGTTTAATCGTATTTAATATCATCCAGATTAAACATTGATGTTAACACACTCTTGATAAATGAGTCTTGTCTCATTCTTATCTTCGTCAAACTTTGTCAGCCTCAAGATCCCTTAATTAGTTTCCTTTTTCGAAGAAGGAAGAAGAAACATCCCTGTGCAAGAATAATAGAAAGATAGATCTCTTCCTTCTTCCGTGATGATCGTGACAAATTTTACGTAGCTTCGTTTTTCAGCTTCGTTTCAAGTTTACGACGTTGTCCGAAGGTAATTATTACCTTCTAAATACAATTCGAATCGTCATTGATCATTCATCGCTGTCGAATTAAATATCGAAATATCATTTCGACGATGAATTATTTCGTACGTGTATTTTATAATTGGAGGTCATTTGCTTTCTGACAGTGAAAAACGGTAATTAAATATTACGTTAAACGTTGTAGGACCTGGGAGACGCTGTTACATCTGCTGAAAGGCAGCTTGGGCACCGGGATCCTTGCGATGCCAAAGGCTTTCTACCATGCTGGATATGGTGTTGGCATAGTGGCAACCATAATCATAGGTGTATTCTGTACTTATTGCATGCGGATATTGGTCGGCTCGCAGTACGAGCTCTGCAAGAGGAAAAAGGTCGCCTCGTTGTCTTATCCTGCCACGGCGGAAGCTGCTCTGTCGGAGGGTCCAGCGCCGCTCAGGCGATTTGCCAAGGCTTCTATGTGAGTATTTCGATTGAAAAATCAAATTTCACGCGAGAATTTTGAAACATTTTTGATGTATAATTTTTCTAAGCTTCTGTCTCTCTCTAGTTACATATTTACGATTTTCGTAGAACTCGAAATATTTTTTTATAACACGATTTTAGACAATATTTCGGAAATTTAACGAGGAATAGAAAATTTTAATTATAAAATTTAATTATAAAATCCTCTCTTTTCTTTGATATATAATACATAGTTTGTTATATTTTTGTTATATTATTTATTTATTTTATCATACTTTTATTATATTATTTATTATATTTTATTATGATATTTACTTATTTTATCATTATTTATTATTTCATTATATTTGAACGTTCATTCACATTTACGATTTATTTATTAATGAAACTACTCAAGATCGTATACGTTAAGTGTGCCAAGATCTAACAAAATGTCCGAAGTATAGTTACACTTGCGCGCGAGTAAACACGCAATCGAGATTATCTTCAACGTACAATACAATGGGAGCTGTTTGCGAAAATTTCAACGGTGAAAAATCCTTTGTTTTGCAGCCACACGATAAACGTGTTTCTCATGGTATATCAATTGGGAAGTTGCTGCGTCTATACCGTGTTCATCGCCACGAATTTGCAAACGGTTAGTACAATTATTAATTAATCGTAATCGTAATACGTGGGATGAAGATCATTCACACGATCATCACGCATCGATCGTTCTCTCATCAAACACGCTCGATTTCATTGAAATTTCAATTTCTTCAGGCCTGAGGTTTCATCGACTTTAACTTAATTCCATTTATGTTTCACGATTTCAATCGAAGTTTCTTGAATTTTATGATTACGAATCGAAGCCGTTGAATTTGGTGATTTTAGTTTTAAAATCTATTTCTATCAATTCAAGGCGAATTTTTTTTTTTTAACATATCCGAGGAATCAGAAGTAGAGGAACATGTTTGAATTCATAATGTAGATGGCGATTAAACTTGTTCAGAGTCAACTATATCAAATTCGACGAAACCTAAATAGAACGAAGTCACGGTCAATTGGAATTTCTTTTACTGAGCCAACTCTAGTTAGAATTCACCCAATTAAATCCAATTTCTCAACAGTTCTAATCTAATCGAACTTTACCTAAATCCAATGAAAGTTGATTAGAATTCATTCGTAGTCGTCCAAGTCTAATCAATGTTCAACTGACGCCAACTAAAACCCAGTTGCATTCAACTTGCAATTAGTTGAAACCCATTTGTATTAAATATTCAAACACTGAAACTATCGACGACTGATTAGAGTGCAATGAATAATAAATAAATTGCAACGATAAGAATGCTTTTGTCTGTATAAAGATATTTACTTTCATTGTATAAGTTATTATATAGTACGTTATCACATTAATTATTGCACTATTTTATTATAACAAATATTCATTATAATGTTTATTTATATCAATATTATAATATTTTAACGTATTATAATATTATAATATTATAAATATATATTATATATATTTTATTGTGTTATTATAATATCTGTGTTATTAATATTTTAATGTGTTATTATAATATCTGTGACAACGTTTATTTATATTTTATTATTATTAAAAATACTTACTTAGGTACAAAATATCTACGTAATATTAATATAAAAATCAGTGAAACTATTATTATAATATTATATATATTATATATTATAATATATTATTATATATATATATATAACATATTATATATATTACAATATTATATATTATATATATTATATATTTTAACGTGTTACTATAATATTTATGACAACGTTTATTTATATTTTATTATTATTAAAATACTTACTTAAGTACAAAATATTTACGTAATATTGAAGATCATTGAAACTTCCAAAAGGAAATTGTTGAAAATCGCTCGTTCGAGAATCTACGAAAATTTTCTACGAAAAATTCAAGTCACTCATTTTGATGGCCAATCTCTCGAAATTCTAGCTGTAGAAACTCTAAATTTAAATTTAAAGTTTATATCACTCATTCTAACCAATCTCGCGAAATTCCAGCGTTAAAATGCAAACCAGCCCTAACGTTCAACAGCAAAGCAATCGCGACAAACTCGCAAATCCATTTCTCCTACCTAGCTGTAAGCAAATGACATCACCTGTGTTAGAACCGTTCTCGTCCCCTCTATTCATCGTTCTCGCAGGAAACTGTCCGAGCAAATGACTCACGAGATTTCGCTGCTGCTCTCGCGAACGCGCTCGCGTTGAATTCTCGCGTCGATCGCGGCTTTTACCGCGTTGGAATCCCGCTCTCGGGCAACAAGCTAGAACCCGCGTGGTGTTGCACGCAGCTGTAGGCAGAGGAAAAGGAGCATGTAGGTCAGGGAAACACGCCGCGCGGAATAAACGATTAGACAGCCGACGCGTCGTAATGAGCCTCGCGAGTCAAGGTGATAATGCACGGTTCAGGTTCGTTGACGTCTCGACGAGCAACAGGATGAAGCCGAGTCTCATTTTTTTTTTTCCTTTTTTTCTTTTTCTCTTTATTTACGAGGACACGCGGCTCGGTTTGGCCAACGAAATCGGGAAAACGGGAAACGGAGACTTTCGTGAGTAACGAGCAGCGATAGGCGTTGACCGTGAAGTCACACGGAAGGCGTCTTTCGAGTGCTCACTTCCTCTTTCCTCGGGTTTATCCTGGCCTTGATTTTCGAATTTTAGGACACTTGGCTTTGTGTTTGGAGTCTGTTTGGATAGAGCGACTGGGTGCTTTAACGATTTTTTGTTATTTTTGGTATTTTATTTTATTTTTATTTCGTTTGGTATTTTATTTTATTTCTGTTTTGTTATTATTTCATTTTTATTTTGTTTAATATTTTGTTTTATTTTTATTTTTATTTTGTTTGGTGTGTTATTTCATTCTTATATACATAAAAAATAATATATCTTTATTTATTTTTCCTGACGAAGATTCCTCTTTGGCCCTTTTAATTTTTCAAAAATTACATTATTTCATTTTAATTTTAATGACTTGTGACAAGTCTCTCTTTATTTATATTAAGAATATTCTTCATTCATATTTATTTATATTGAAGATATTTTCTCTATATTTAGAATATTTTTTTTAATCAAGATTCCTGTGAATTCTCTCTCTTTACTCTCTTTAATTTTTCAAAAAATTACGCACAATTGTCAGTTCCCCAGTACAGCTAATCGTACGTAGAGCATTTTTATTAAAATATTTCTTTAATTCTTTTGCCTTATTTGGAATTTTTATAAGATTTTAACGACGTAGGGACTCAAAATTGTTTTCGATTCTCTCTCTCTCTCTTTAGCTTTCAAAGATGGTCTTTCCTTTATATACGATTCGCAATGCGTGGGCCATTCGTTCGTCTCTAAATTTCACAAAAATTCAAACGACGATCTGTTTTTCACGTGATTCGTTTCACATACGGGCCTATCCTGAGAATCTTAATACCACGAGTCATCGAGAACCCATTATATAATTCCTTTCTCAAAGGGCACAATGTATCTGAAGTCACATCGTTCCGCGCATTTATAATTCTAACGCATTGCAACGATTTTTTTTTCTTCTTCAACCTCGGGATTCCTGCGTCGTTTCCGCGCAACGTTTAATCAACGCTGCAATTTTCTTTGACAAGCCGTACGTGTATATGCAAATATAAAACGGACGTACTGCCCACTGTGTATTGTACGTACACTCGGGCACGCGAATGTTGCTCGATAGCAACCGATGTATCATACATTTCACAAAGTTCACTGCGTATTTCACTCGAGGCACTCTCGAGGATCGTGCAAAGTGGACGTTTGCGTTTAATTGGAAGAATTGGAAGGACTTGCTCGATCTGTCGTAAATCTTGGGAAAAAGGTCACGTTGCTTCGACGTTTCGCTATACTAATGGAACCTCGATCGCTGCGGCAAATAGGGAGATGCATACTATCGTGTCAATTCAAGTATAGGCGTATCCGATGAACAAAATGGTTCAACAAGTGACTTTAGAAACTTTCATCAGACGTTCCATATACATCTGAAGTACAAATCATTATACTTTCAGTTTTAGTGCACTTGAAACTTTTTTTATAATATGTGTATAAAGATAAACTTTTTAAGTTTTATTTTAAATTTTAATCTCTTATTAATATTATTACATTATTACTAATATTAATATTCAATATTTTATTTTTTAAATTTTAATATATATGTATAAAGATAAACCTTTCAAGTTTTATTTTAAATTTTAACATTTTATCAATATTATTACATTATTACTAATATTAATATTCAATATTTTATTTTTTAAATTTTAATATATATGTATAAAGATAAACCTTTCAAGTTTTATTTTAAATTTTAACATTTTATCAATATTATTACATTATTACTAATATTAATATTCAATATTTTATTTTTTAAATTTTAATATATATGTATAAAGATAAACCTTTCAAGTTTTATTTTAAATTTTAATATTTCATTAATATTATTACATTATTACTAATATTAATATTCAATATTTTATTTTTTAAATTTTAACATATATGTATAAAGATAAACCTTTCAAGTTTTATTTTAAATTTCAATATTTTATTAATATTATTACATTATTACTAATATTAATATTTAATATTTTACTTTTTAAATTTTAATATATGTATGAGGATAAACTATTTAGAAAAAGGACTTTCATTATCTAACAATTAGACCATTCCATGGTACAAACTCAACATCATACCTTCACTTTTAATACGTATATAAGACAAGCTATTTTTTATGTTATTCGACGCTAATGACTCGATTACGGAGCGAAAGTTGCAGACACGTTTCATTTGATTTAACACGGGCAATATATTTGGATAATAGAATCTTTCTGTTTTTGTATTAAATCATCCCACATAGCAGGAAACGTGCTGCCTGAATGATAAAACATTCCGACGACGGAACACCTGGTTTTGCTGTATAACCTCGTTGCATTCTTTCCGTTCGACGGGATTCCCCTCACGCTTACGAACGAAATGAAAATTTCAATCGGCTCGTTTGCTAATTCCTCGGAGGTTCGTTAGCCTCGTTCAATGACGAAGTACCAGAATTTTGACGGTCGGCGCAATTGTGCAAATCAAATAATTCATCACTTGACGCTGATGTCTCAATTACACATTGAATACATTATTATACAATTAAATGAAATTATAAACATAATAGTTATATATTTATTATTCGATCAATAATAACCATTCAATTCGACGTTATCATCTCATTTATATCATCCAAAGGCCAATACTATCAGTTGAATATAATTATTCGCCACGTGATATTGATACGATTTTAACACGCCACAATATCAGGCTCCATCGACGATATAATCTTTCCACGTGGAGAACCTTGCAGTCCTAACGCAATCCTTTCTCTGTGACGCACGTAACAAAACCAACGGCAGTGACTCAATTCGACGTTATCATCTCATTTATATCATCCAAAGGCCAATACCATCAGTTAAATATAATTATTCACCACGTGATATTGATACGATTTTAACACGCCACAATATCAGGCTCCATCGACGATATAATCTTTCCACGTGGAGAACCTTGCAGTCCTAACGCAATCCTTTCCCCGTGACGCACGTAATAAAACCA